GTTTGCTCCAGCTCTAGTGTGTGTGAAGATGTGCTATAAGTATTGCCTTCTTATTTTTATGTCCGAGTTTGGAAATCAATATGGCAATATGCAATATTTGAAAACTTTATGTTTTGTAAATTCTAATACTGTAGCCTTAATTCTATTGTGTTTTGTCGTTATTTTGAAAACTGAGTTTACGTTATCATTACATTTGTTTTCAAGTTGAACTGTATATTATCCAAAATTGTAAAATTCGAAATGGAGGTTATTTTCGATAACACAAAACAACATCCTTCTTGTCCACATGGTGAGACGTATAGAAATTTTGGGGAAAGTGCAGAATCACCCACTGCTTGGCACGTTTTTAAGAATTGCACATACTCGGTTACTCGGTATCCATGTACACATCGACATATTTTCACTTAAAAAACATCCCAGAATTGCACAAAAATCAATTGTGCATCTCCTGACTTTATCCATGAAACATCGACTATTTTTCACTAGTCAAAACAAATGACAAATAAAATTTCTTACTTGTAGAAAGCGCAAACAAACAAGAGGGCGATCGATTCTGCACTTAGCCGACTTTTTAACATTTTTCTTATTGTAAGGTGTTGTAATTATTAAAGATCTTTTTTTTTTTTTTTTTTTTTTTTTAAAGCCATGATGAATTGATTCTTGAATGTAGTTGAGACATGAATTATATTCTGTTTTCCATATCTCTGTAAGATTTACTTAGCCTTTCTGCTATTTACATCACAACATAAGCATTCCCACAAAATGCTATTTTAAATCATATAGATAATATGATTTCAAATAGCCTTTCTGTTATTTTCATATTTCTCTTTTCCCTTGCATGTGGTACTTGGGCTAATACACCTAGTTCAGCTTGGAAAAAAAATAGTGTATATTTGTACATGATAATTTAATATATAAATAGTTTAATAAATATATTTAAAAGTTAGCCATAGTAAAATACATTAGTGGGATGGTTAAAACTGAATTTTATCAACAATTTTTAATGTAAATGGTTGAAAGCTAGTTGTCGATATTCTTAAGACAGATTTCAAATGTTGATCTGTCAATTTGTTTCTTAATTTTGACTAATTTAGATTCATAAGAGAAAATGTTTGTTCACATATAAGTTCTACCAGACATGGTAGCACATCTGCTTGAATTTTTTTTAAGTGCAAAAATTTGGCAGGTAGACTTTCATAAAAGTGAAAAATGTCTGAATCACAGAATCTGGATTTGCATAAGTTTATAAATCAATAAGTTCCATGTGAACATCTTCTGGAGCTTCTTTGACTACAATAGAAAATGGATCACCAAACAGTTTAAACTTAACCTTATGTGACTCAAAACCTGTAAATTGCTTTTCAAATGAAGTTAAGCTGCAGCTTTATTTGATCTGAATAATCGAATTATTTATCAGGAAAATTTTCCTTGAGTTTCTTCAGGTAAGGAAAGTGACAAAATTTTGACAGCCAAGCTACTTTGGAAACAGCTGGAGTTTTAGTTTGAAAGCAGATACTGCAGTGGCCAGTTGACTGATGAATTGGTTTTTTTCCCATCAGTTTTTTTTTTTTTTTTTTTGTTTTTGTTTGTTAGTTTGTTTAGGTCATTCAGATGGGCTGCCACATCAACTAAAAGTGCTGAGAGACACTTGAAAGATAGTTCTATTAACATCCTACTTGGCTTGCCTTTTTCTTTAAGGAATAGTATTATTTCATCACAATCAAATCAGCAAACCTTTTCAAAACCTCTACATGGCTTAACTACCATACTTCAGATTAATATATGAAAGCACTATGTGGTGCATCTGTTTGTCCTAGGATTTCCTTAAATTGCCTGTGGTTTAAACTATGTGAGCGAATAAAATTTATTATATCGCTCACTACCTTCATTAGGCAATCAAATGTTAGTTCTTTCACACACAGCTGTTCTTGGTATATGATACAGTAATACCCAAGCAAATCTTTGCCTCTATCACCCAAATGGTTTCTTAGTAGACTTATCGTGCCATTTTGAATACCAGTCGTGGTTGGAGCTCTATCAGTGGTGATACTAACAAGTGTGTTAGTATTGAAATTATGTGCAGAACAGAAATTTAAAATGGAGAACAAAATATCAACTCCAGTTATTCGCCTCTTACTTGAACTCATTCAAAAAATTCTTCAGTTTCTTCAAAATTTTCAGAAATATCTCTAACAAAAAAAAAGCAGCTGAGCTGTTGAAGTAATTTCTGTTGTCCCATCAGGTGGTAGAAAAAGTACTTAAATTTGGCGGCAACAATCTGTATTTGTTCATTAACATCATCAGATAAATTTTCAATTCTTGCTTGAATTGTCATTCTGCTGAGACTCATATTTTTAAATTTCTTCGGAGCTTCAGGCAGAGCTTAATTTCTAAAATTAGAAGTGCAAGAGCCCTATGGTAGACTGTCACCAAAGAGGAACAAAAGTAAATAAATAAATAAAATGCTATTAAAATCATTAATTTAAATAGTTAATAAAGCACCGGAGCCTTCTGATTTAGGGCTCTGTTGCACTCTGACTAGAATTAAGATTTATCCCAAAAACTAAGAAGTACCAGAGCCGTGCTCCTGTGATTTCCGGCTCAATTTAGGCTTTGGCTTCAGAGCATACTTTCTTGGATACAAACAATATACACTCATTTGCAAAATTGCCATCAGTAAATGTGCGACCACTTTTAGCATTTAGGCTATGATTTCCAAACTAACTTCAATGCAGCTATCTAATTGGGAAAATGCCTTTGTAAATACATTCCTTTGTGCAACGAAAGAACAGTGAAAAGATTTAATTTTAGGATTTCAATCCGGTTCTTCAAGCTTTAGTGTCTTGTCTTGTAGTGTCACTTAATATTATATTTCTTGTAAACACTTAAGTGTAAAATTAAACATCAAGCATGTAATTCTATTATCTTATTCCACAAAAAAGTATTTCACAGGCCTCCGAAAATTTCCTGTTATCAACTCCTACCTTTCTTTTTGTTATCGATACATTCATCATGGCAAATAACTATCAAAATCACGAGGAACAAAAATTTTACGTTATTTCTTCTTTCAAAATAATGTTAAAAATAAGTGAAATATTCAAAACAAGAAACTTCTCGAAAAGAAAAATAAACACACAAGGGGTAAAACAATGTATAGTCACGAAGCCAAAAGTGCAACAATACAAAGAAAATAAATGCAGCACTTCTGATCCAAACAAATATTTTTCTCTTCCCTTTTATTAGTGCACATTCATGCCATGTCATACCACAGACCCTTCCTCAGTATGTGCACTGTACAGGTTAGGAGCAGTTTTCACGATCAAGCAGTAAAACTTGCTTTGGTTGACGCCAGGATTTTGGCTCGGTGCCAAATCTCACTTCGAGAGGAGAGAGTAGAACGAGTAATGAAGTGGGTAACAGTGAAATTTTTTCTGCTCGCAACCCCTTCTAGAGACAATTGATATGTCAAATCGCAAAAAAATTTTGAAGAGGTCTCGGTGAGCCACAAGTTGTGCATCCCTACTCTTAAAGAATCGTTATATATAATTCATGCTTTTTGTATTTTTTGGGGGATGCAAAAAAAGATTGGCTGCCAGTGTGACATGCTTACACTATAAGCAAGAAAATGCAGCCTGTATAGTGGACCTTAATTTTACAGACTGGAAAAAGAAATTTATATACAAAAATAGCATTTAAAAGCAATAAAACATTTGGATATAGTGAGATAGATCATAAGACATAAGTTTTTCATGTTCTTTTTGTAAACTGGCATGTTAATTTTTTTAATTTAAAGAACTTTGTTAAACTTCCAGCAAATCCTTTTTTTTTTTTTTTTTTTTTTTAACTGGAAATCATGTAAAATAAGTTTCCATTTTTCCTTTTATTAAAATACTGTTCATTTTTATTACTTAAACTAATATTGAAGTAATTTACATGTATCAACGTGCTACTTTATATGCCACTGAATCCATTCACAGAATAAGGATTCATAATATTGATTGCATATGTGACTATTTAAAGTAAAAAAAAAAAAAAAAAAACTGTAATTCATCAATTATATAACCTATGATATTGACCTTAAATATCTTGATTCATAAATCTTAGTTTTAATTAATTTTATTAATACATATAATAGGTTATTAATACATATAATATGACTTTTTTTTTCTATATGGAAAGAAGTAAAAATTGATGTAAGCAAGGTTACAAAACATTGGTGCTGAAAGATTTATGTAAAATTTTTGGGTACTTGGCATATTATCCCATTTACTATGAAAGTCAGCAGAGATTGCATCAATCATTCTTATGAAATTCTGAAAGAACTAACACCTCTTTATTTAATAAACAATCAATATTTGACCCATTTCTTAAAAAGGCTTTTGTCCTTTCTACTATTTTGTTTAACCCTCTAATTTTAGGTAAAGTTCTGTTTAGAAACTATGAGTACAAACTTTTGCAGGTGATTGTACCAATCTGTTACTGTTTTGTTGGCCATATTCAGCTGACCATATCATGTCCATTAATCCACTTTTTTATCGTAGGATCCCGTAACTTTTAAAATGATACACTGCTTGCTGTTTTGTAGAAAATAAGTCTCAAAGTTTAATCATTTTTCCAAACTGCGAAAAAAAATGTAGCAATAATGGTTAATTTATGTCCTTGTTCATTAAAGCAAAAAGTGGCTTGAGGAGAATTAATCGGTTTACATCAGAGAAAAGCACATTGTGTTGCAACATCATGCTTATTCATAATAGCAGAAAATCATGCTGCTTGAAAGCAGTTTCAGAGTTGACAGAATAATATATATAAATGCCAATTTTTTTGGAAGGTGAAGTAAGCAAACATAAAAATTATTTATATTTACTATTAAAGAAAATTCTTAAATATGAATATCTTTTAATTGCAGATGTTGAATTATAATTTTTTTTATTAAAGGTCCATGCCTTATGTTTGAAAGATATAATACAGCTGGGATAAAAACAGGCAAAAAATTTTTTGCATGTTCAGCATACAGACACAGATCACTATGTGACTTTTTCCAATGGGTGGAAGATAAGCCTTCTGCTGAAATTGAAAAGTTTCGAAGAGATAAAATTGAAAAGAAAAAACCACCTTTTGCCCATAAAGAATATATAAAGTGAGTAAAAGAACATAAATTTGAATTTAATATCCAGAAATGTATGTACTGTTGTGAAGTCCAAAATCCAGACATCCAATATTTGGAAAGCTAGTCCAAAAGTAAATAAACTCTGTCGTCGCTTGAAAAATCTAGAAATTGTTAACCCTCTGACTGCTCAATTTATGGACCGAAATCGCTTCAAAAATTGTGCAATTTTTTTTTTCATATTTTTAATCAATATATATTGGAGAATTGATAAATGCATTTTTTCTTTCTAGAAAATATTTTTTTTATATAGATTTTTATCATGAGAAACTTAAGTTGCCAGAAAAACCATTCAGATGTTATCTCCCCAAAAAATTTTTTTAATACAATTTCAGTCAATTACAGTATTAATTTCTGTTATTGCCTAATATAAAAGTAAATATATAAAAAATTAAGAAAAATAAAGTCTGAGGAAAAAAATTATCTTAGAAATGCAGTTTAGTATGATAGAGTTCAAAACAGGATTCAAGTCCAACTTCACAGTCTTTGCACCAGAATCAATAAATCTAATTATTAATATAACCAATAAATCTAATTGATAATTCAATAATTTCATTAAATAATTAAGATAATTGCTGAATATTTTATAGTAGCCATTTCTGTAAGAAAAAAGTACAAAAAGTTGAGTTTGAGTGGTAATACCACGTGCCTTCAAATGCGACAATTTAGTGCACAGCTAATGATATCTGTTGGCCAAAATGTAAACTAAATGTCCAATACTGTATATAATTTATTTCAGTGGTTAAATGGGGAAAAAGGGATGTGCTCCTCAATAAAGGAAGAAAACACATGCCTGCGAAAATCACAGGATGAACAGATTTTGCTACATTTGAGTTGCCCTTTGAAATTGCAGGATGAGCAGCCAGAGGATTAATATAATGCTCAGTAAAAGGAATCAGGTGTACCATAAATGGGATTTTTTTCCTGTCTAACTGAGATTCCTGCATTTCAGTCTCTGGGGCCAATGACAGTACATTGGATGAAGATGTATTGATGTTGGCCAAGATCACACTTTCAGTCCTTGAGTGGCTATGGAAGTTATGGCATTTTTCTATCTGACCTAACTAATAAATGAGGTTCCAAATGTTGCTGTGTCACATTTCGGCTTGCTAGATTTAAACATAATCTAAAATTTGGAAATTGCCAAAATGCAGAATTGCTGAAGTGCAGTTGATTCCCAATCTTGAACTTTATACTGTATATTTTTATACTTTGGGTCAAACAGAAATTATCTACTGTTGCAAATTCCTATTCAACTGAAATTATTTAACTATGTTTTTGTTTTTTATTAGGTGGAAAATCAAATGTAAAAGGAACTTAAAGTTTAATTTTATATGCTAATGCTTACTACTAAAATAAATATGCTGCTAGCCATTCAAATTGCAACATTATGGCAGAGAAGACCTACTAAAGCAGTATGGTTAGTCTATATTTTAAGGTGCCCCATGGATTATCGCCAAATTATTGTTTCATTTATGGTAACCTGAGTAGTTGAATGTTATGGAAACCCTATTATGACATGATTGGTTGTCTGATTGCAGTGAATCTGACTGTTGGCAAAATATTTGTAAGGGCTTTTTGCGTTGAATGTCAGGTAAGAAGTATGTTGCATACTTTGCATTTTAAAATGGCTGACAGTGGTTGTTTGAGGGTATAGAATGAGGAAGAGGAAGGTTTTTTTTTTTTTTTTTTTTTTTTTTTGTAGTTGTTATTATTAAAGTGTTTGAAGAAGAAGAAAAGAAACTTTGATGGATGTAATTCAGCAGAATATTTTACCTGGAACAATGATCATATCCAACTGCTGGAAGTTGTATGATTGTCTTTTTGATAATGGCTTCATTTACTTTTCAATAAATCATGCAATGACATTCAAGGATCCAGAAATGGAAGTTTAGGAATTTTGTGTGCCACAGACTGAAGACACAGAAATTTTTAAATATGATAAGTCGATATCTCCTTTTTGTAGTGCATTTATGTGATAGCATGTATTTCCATTTTTATGTTATTTCATTGTGTGATTTAAAATGCACTTGGTAAAAATATATGTAAGGATGCCCCTTGGCGAAAGTTGATGATTGATGCAAGGCGCAGTTTTAAGATGGCTGTTACACAAAACCAAAATAACAAGTCAAAGAATTGCACAAACTTGGTGTCCATGGACATATCGATTTATTTTCACTTAAAAAAAAAAATTCAGAGATTTGCACACTCCCTTGACTTTATCCATCTACACATCGATATATTTTCACTTTAAAAAAAATCAGTAGAATGATGATGTCATATGATGTTAAAACAAAGTTACTCATCCCTAAAATTGAGCAAAATTTGTAGCTCATCAAAGCTCAATAAACTGCATTTTAAATCACACAATGAAATAGCATAAAAAAGGAAATAATCTTATCACATACGCACTACAAAAAGGAAATATCAACTTACCACATTTAGAAATTTCTGTGTCTTCAGTCTGTGATACACAAAATTCCTTACCAGCTTCTAAAAACTTAAAATTATCTGAACTAGAATATGCATACTGCTGTCACCACATAAATTCACAAAAATAAGAGTAAAAAATATCGTCCATAGTGCCAGACTGTCGGTGGCATTTCTGCAGAAACCTTTCTTGCGACAAACCCATTCAGAGCCATCTGAATGATCTTTATGTTCGACCATATGCATTTCCTTTATACAAACAGGACACTTATCATGACTACTAAGTAAACCTTCATTTACACACCAGTCAACTAATGCTTTCCCCCCCCTTTCATTCCAAATTGTACAGAAACTTCACATTAATCTTATCATACACAGCCATTTTATAGTGTACAGTGCAAAATAAGCAACCTACATCCTAACTGACATCCAACACAAAAATAAGCCCTTAAAAATATTTTTCCATCACAGAAATTCACTGCAATCACATCATAATAGGGTTTCCATAATATTCAACTTCTCAGGTTACCATAAATGAAACAACAACTTGGCGATAATCCAAGGGGCACCTTAAAATATAGACTAACCATGCAGTTTATTGAGCTTCGATTGGCTACAAATTTTGTTCAATTTTGGTGATGAGTAATTTTGTTTTAACATTATATGATGTCATCATTGTATTCATTTTTTTTTTTTTTTTTAAGTGAAACTAGATCAATGTATGCATAAACAAAGTGAAGGGAGTGCGCAGTGCCGAGTTTGTGCAATTCTGTGATTTTTTTTTTAAGTGAAACTAAATCGATGTGTACATGAACACTGAGTTTGTGTAATTCTTTGTCTTGTTATTTTGGTTTTGTGTAGCAGTCATCTTGAAATTGTGCCTTGCTAGCCAATCGCCAATTTTTGCGAAGGGTCACCCTAAAATATATTTTTACCAAGTCGTATTTATCAGATATATAATGTATGCCATAGCTGTGAAATAGTTATAATTACAGCTTAAATCAATTTACAAAATACAAGGAAACTGGTATTTCATATAATTTTGGATTGTACTTGCTTTTGATTCGCTTTACCTTAATTATAATTGATAATTCACTGTTATATAAAAATTGATAATGTATGATTCTATTTGAATGGGTTTGTTGTGTTTAGGCCTTTCTTTATTTAGTTAAGATATCTGGGCAAAAAGAGTATGCTGCATGTTAGAATAAAAACCAAAGGTGCTTCTTTTAAATCTAACTGAAAACACTCCAGTTTCAGTAAGTGAGTGGGAACTTGGCTTCTCGCAGTTGAATTTAATAATGACTCCAACAAGAACTTTATGCATTGTAGCAAACTTAATGTTTATAAAATTCATAAGCCCTCCTTTAAGGAAATTTAAGTCTTTAGTTTGTGTAATGCCGTAATATTTTGAAAGATCTGGTGAGAGACACTAAAATCAAACAGAGGAATTTGGAAGATGTTAGTCTATACAGTACTTATATATTATCACAGCAATCTAAGTAGAAATCACCAAACTCTGGCAGCCATGCACATGCAGATTCTTTAGGTAACCATGCTCATAACAATCCTTCAGCGAAGTAACAGCCATTTTTGGCTGTGTTCTTTTTGTTGTATTTCAAATTCTAATGGTTTTTATAGACAAATTGAGATACTTTTTGCATTGAACTCAATTTAATATTTAAAATGCTTTTGATATATTGATAATGTTTGCTGAATAATTATAAATATCAATAGTTTGAGAACCATTGCTATTATTTATTTATTACTATTATTATTTATTTATTTATTTATTTATTTTTTTTTTAAGTTGGGAAAATGAGCAGCTTGTACAAGTAATTTTTACCTCTCCTTCTCTTAAATGACAGCCAAATTTAACGAAGGTGGTTGTTTTAATACATGAGTACTATGAATGTAATCTTAGGCCAATTTGCAAAATATTAAACTGTGCAATTTGAGGGTTAATGCATGTTTTTAGTTTTTAAAAACATTATCCAGAGACTGCGTTTATTTTTTTGGTACTTTGGTATTGTCATAACCACATTGGTAGAAGTTGCCAAACTGTGGTAACCATGCACATAACAATTCTGTAGGTAATCAAATTGATATCTATGAGTTTGAATAAGCAATGTTGCCATTTTTATACATGCTGTTTTTTGGTTTTATTAGAAGTTTTAATTTTTTGCCATCAGCTGAATTTTGTTATATGTGCTTTTGGGATTGCCTGTAAACGAAGAAAGTCCTGTGAAATTTTTGTAGCAATGTAATATTTTGCCACAAAGGTCCCATTTGATAATGTTTTGTTTTGGAAAACAAACCTTTTTGGAAATGCAGTGGGAAAAAGTATAATGAACACATTGACATTTAAAATGCTAATTTGTTCAAGAATAATAGTCTGCTATTTACTACAGGAGTCAGATTTATGTACTGATGTAAAGAATTAACAAATGTTAAATTTTGCATGAAGAATTAGAAATGGACATTAAGACTGTGGTAGACTGGAATAATTACATGCAGAAGGTAACTTTTGTAAATAGGTTTATAAATTGTTTTGTGATAAATATCAAACTAAAATTAAAATGTGTACCTAATAACATGTATGAAATGGAGACATGTTATTAGGTACACATTTTAAGTAAATTGGTGAAAGTAACTTTCACCAATGGTTTGGAATTACCATTCTTTTTCTTCTTCAAAAAATTACCAAATTGCTTCAAGGTGGTTGCGATAATACCAAAGTATCTATATTTTTTCCCTGAGGGAATATTAAAAGAATTTTTTGAGTCAAAGTGAGAATCACCCTAAAAAGTTTTAGAATAAAAAGCACTGTGTTAATATAATAGTAAATGTCATAAAAAGTGTGAAGTGTGCTTTAGAGTTATTTTTATGCTTCCATATTAGTTTTATGAAGTATTTTAGAATAATTTTGGAATTTTTAAATTCTAAATTTTGGAACCGGTTTTGCTAAATAATTAAATACAGTCAAATACCAAAAATCCACCAACCTGAAATCTTCATTGCCTCTCAAAATATAAACATTCAGTTTATAGGTTCCAGAAACCGCAAAATTGAGTACGAAATATCGAAGGAAAAATACTTAACGAATAATGACGTCATAATTACTGAATAATAATGAGTCATACCAAATTATTGACATAAAAAAAAAACTAAGATAAAATAATAAAAGTTTTTTCTAATCTGCATCGAGGTAAAAAAGCAAACAATTCACTCAACTCATCGTTTAAGTTCACGATTCATGTCGTGTATTTCTGAGCTTTGTTATTCACAAGATTGTTTAGTGCTTGCCCTTTTTTTTTTTTCGGATATTTGTGGATAATTAAGAATATTTAATTTCACCCTTTTATTACAATGACAGATAGAAGCACTCATGATTTTACTGCTTGGAACGTTGAAAACGTAACACGTTGCATGACGGTAATGCAAATTCTGTCAAAAGATGTAGTAGACCTCGACCTCGTCATTGACCAAGCTATTGTGAAGAGCAACGTAATGCTGGTTCCGAATAAAGCCCAAGGGCACTTGACTAACTAAATCCGACATGGAGAAATCGCAGATGAGCAAACGGAAAAGGGGAAGAGAAGTATAAAAGGAGCAGACGATCAATCAGACAAAGTTGATAAGTACGAGCGATCAGAGCTTTCAAGAAGGACCCAAGACAATGCAAATCAATTACAATAATATAAGAAAGATAATCTACAGCAATGGTTCAAATGACAAATTCAAATACAACAACACAACCTCAATCAATACTACTAAATACAACACAATTCAATACAACTATACAACTCAATGCAATACAACTATACAACGCAATTCACTACAGCAATTCAACAACAACCTAGGCTACCTAGTTACAACATTACTATTTCATCACAACAATGCAGAAAAACTCACAGCACTAGTTTTATCAATCTCCAAGAACAATATTCGGTACTTTTCCGTTTTGCCGGCGCAAATGATAAAGTCGCCAGTAATGGTACACAATTGATGCCAGACGGAATATCTTCACTGGTAAACTTTTACGCTTTTTTTCAAAACAAGTCGCAGCCATTTCTTATCAGATTGATTGTTTATTTCAGTACTAGTATACAATTGCATAGGATTTTTACAAGATAGTTCAATTTTATGCCCTAAGACCATTCGTGGTCATTAAGGCAATTAGGATGCAATCACACCGCACCGGAAGGCGAAAATTAGAAAGGCAAAAGCAAGGGTTAAATTCTCATTCTAATGAATGCACTAAGCACTGCGGTTTTACATATTTCTGATAGCTATTTGTACGAATTGAAATAATTTTGCATTTAAACTTGATTCCAAATTAAGATTTAACTTGAAATTAATGTAGATAATTACTCAGAGAATTACATTTTTGTAGCGTAGTTCCGTGAGATGAAATCACTTGGGTCACATGATAAGAACACGCGAGTCAGGATATTGAACCATGAAGCATAGTAAATTTTTAAATTAATGTCTTTTTAAATTTATTGGCTTTTTACAAAATTTTAAACCATATTAACAATGTTTATGCCTTCAAAATAAAAATTCTTAGAACTAACATTTGTTAACATTTTTTATGCGTATACTGTATGCTGTCGCCAACAAAGTCTGCTTGGCGAGATTTGCGCCGGCGAAACGGAAAAGTACCCAATATTCAAACTACAGAAAAACTTCAATCAAAATCAGATGCATTGGAAGTATAAACAGATGGTGGCAGGTGCTACTCCTCGATTTATAGCACGCGACACGATTGTGTATGATATATAGAAAAATAAACAAAAGCTGTTGAAATTTTACAGCAACAGTGATTCTAACACCGGAATCCGAAACCGGAAATCTTTGCATGAGGCGAAATCGGCAAACATCGATGCTGTGCACATATAATACAATGAATAATATAATCAATTTATATATGTAACAATAATTTAATGAATATAATAAATTATTGCAATAATGTATATAATAATTTAATTAAATGTATCTAATACGCCTTATTTATTTGGCACTTTTAGTCCAAATATTATGCTTTATCTTTTCTGTCCTGAAATCCGCAAAATCCTAAAATCCGCACAAATCTCCTCTGGTACCAAGCTTTGCGGTTTTCTGGACTTCTACTTTATAATAACATCTGTTAAATTGTTTAATATAATATTCTTTTCAGGAGACTGAAAGTTTTTAATAATCTTCCACTGACCGAAAGAAGATATTGCAAAACCTGTTCTCTCTTAATTTTACCTGAGGAAAGCCATGTAAAGCATGAAATAATCGATGTTATCAAAGAAGAATGCTTGCAGCCAACTATTTTATTGAATACATTACAAAATAAAAAAGCAGAAGCAGTTAAGTAATTTTAATTAATTATTTGGTCTCCTTTTTCCTCTATGGAAATGGTGAAAATTTTAAATCTACGCAACAAACCCAGATTTCTTGGAAAATACCTAAAACAATTTTTAGAATTTTATGTAAATATGTATGAATATATAATGGTTGTATTCATGATGTGATGCATTTTTAGTACACATTAGTGAACTAAAATTTATTTATTTGTAACAGTATTTTTGAATTATTATTCCTAATTCTGAGAAAGAAAAATTAAATTTATTTTCATTAAATAATATTATGGGAAAAGATAAACTGCTGCTATTTTTTTGGAGGGGGCAGAAGGTGTATATAATTTTGACATCGACAATGCTGCCTAATTTCACACAGTTATGAGGAACTTTAAAAATAGCATATTAACCCAAAGTAGATTGTCCTTTCAAAAAAATATTCTGAGTAATTTATGGATTATTCAAGGTCCATTTAGTTGATGAAACAAACATGTTTTAGGATGCAGCCATTTTCTACAAATAGTCCGAGATTCAGATCTCAGAAATTATAACTGATTTGTTTCTTAATTTATCTATATTTTATTACAGCTCTTTTTTTTTAATTTGGAAACATAAAAGCAATTGGAAAAATAATTGAGAAGTAAAATTAATTCAATGTGACTTAATAAGTGAAAAAATGGACATCTGAACTTTCTTCCCCTCTTTCTTTTGCAACATTGTTAATATATACAGTACAAAGTCCGAAATCCAGAATCGTCGGGACTTCGGCGACTCCAGATTTGGGATTTTTCCGGTTTATTGATCATCATTTTAAATCTGGTAAGATGGCATGCAGAAATTATACAATTAAAAATATAAAACTGTAATTTATGAAATAAAGAGCAATTATGGTCTTAAGGGTATCAACTTTTACAAAAAAAGCTTAATATTTATTTGTTTACTTCATTAAACATTTCTTTCAATGTAAGTTGTTTAAGTTGCCTTGTTTTTTTGTGCTAATACTTTCTCTTTAATTCTATAAACAGACATAATTTCTTGTTCAATTACAAAGTTCCACTGTTCAAAGTCGTGTAATTGCTGTGTCGAGGATACCAACTAACTTGTCAATCGGAATTTTTTCATTTTCAATAACCTCTCTGTCACTATTGGTAGCAGTATTTTCTGGATCTAGAACCATACTACAGATTTCGCTGTCAATTGATTGATGATTGGGGCATTTTCATCGCAATGAAAAACTTCTGTTATATCATCTTTTATTTATTACCGCTTCTCCACATTTCTTTACAAAATCCAATAACTGGAAAATTTCACTTTTAGTTTGCGATTTCCAAAAAACCTTCAAATTCGCGGCTATCATCTTCATCGTCCTCACCATAAGATATGGTAGCTGGCCATAAATTATGTAAAGCATTTTTTAACGTATCTGGAGACACATCCTTCCACGATCTAGCGATGCTCCACACAGCAGATTTAATGCTAAAATATTTCAAAAATTCTTGAACAGTCTTGCCACTGTTCAAGAAATTTAACATGGATTTTAAAAATGCTACTTTATATTTGCATTTCAACGTGTGCACTATTCCGATATCTATAGGCTAAATGACAGACGTAGAATTTGGAGGAAAGAATAATACGGATACAGTATCTTTCACTAAAAACTTTAAGTGAAGTATGAACCAAACAGTTGTCTACAATCAGTACTATTTTTGAGTCATCAGGTAAACCAACTGAATTCAAATGTTGCCGATCCTCGGTTTAAAATAATTTTCAAACCAATCATTCGTTAACGCTTGTGTCATCCATGCTCTTTTATTTGCATGATATATAACGGGGAAAATCTTTACTACTTTAAATGCTCGAGGTCATGCATGTTTTCCGATTACGAAAAGTTTGCATTATAAAAAACTTCTCATCCCTTAATTTTGCCACTCGGTGCTTCCCCAAATTCCAAAAGTTTTGTCTTCCCTAAATTCTGCCGTACGGTACCAACATATTCTGCCACTGCTTCTGGGTTTATGATGAATTATCAGTTATTCTGAGTTAAAATAGCACTAAATTTAATCTTTTGGGCTTTGAGTTTCATTAACAAAATCTATTTTTAGCATATGAAAAGATCTTAAAAATCTATAAGCATTGCCAAGCGTAACGTTAGCATAAAAGGTTGCCATACTCATGTTATTCAATAACTAATATAAAAAAAAGTTTAGACATCACTGCATGAGTTATTACTGAAGCTGTCATGTATTGATAAACACGCAGTGATGAAAGCAAAACATAATAAATGACAACTCGCCAGGTAGTGTCAGGGATATAAAAAATAGGTGAATGTTTCGGTTTGAGATGTATGCCAAGCAGATACTCAGCTATGGAGCTAAATTATTACTCTGACAAATTTATGCTTACATGATTGTTTTTTCATAATGAGGTATTTTATTTAGCGCCTAAGGAAAATTAAGAATCAGAATTTTTAAGTGAAAATCTCCACATGTTTTATTATGGAAGGAAAAATCAAATGCGCATGCGTAAAGCATACCCAAAAAAAAAAGTTTGTTGCTTTGAGGTCCGGATTTTAGATCATTCTGGATAATGGATGTCCAGATTTCGGACTTTGTACTATACAGTCAAAAGTCTTTAATCCGGACTTGTCGGGACTTCGGCAATTCTGGATTATCGATTTTTCCGGATTATAGATCATCAATTTAAATCTGGTAAGATGGCATGCAGAAATTATAAAATTAAAAATATGAAACCGTAATTTATGATCTAAAGGGTATCAAAATTTGCAAAAAAAAAAAAAAGCATAATATTTATTTGTTTACTTTATTAAACATTTTTTTCAGCGTGCAAATGCATAAAGCATACATTACGCATAGTCGAAATTAGAAAATTTCAACCAGGAAACTATTTGATGTGTATTCATGATATTTATAACGACGAGGAATTTGATTTTCCACATCAGCATTCCCCCCACCTACCCGCAGAGCAGCGTGAAATTGATAAACAGATTTCGGAATGGTTAGAGAAACAAAGGATATGCCTTTATCCATTTTTTGCAGCAATTCCACTTTTTGTTTGATGGACATCGAAACATGCTTTCGCTTTGTAGATCCTTTGGCAGCTCCAGAATCGGGAATTCTTTTTGACATAATCGAAAGTTCAAGCTTACTTTTATAAAATTGCTCTAACAGTCTGCAAAAAATAATAAGCCGGATCTAGGTCGAAGTTTAAGGAACAACGCAATCTGCAACATTAACTGAAATAGATAATTTTAGCTTAGCTTATACCGTCCGTTATACATTAAACACGCATGTGTAAACATATTATGCGCATGTGTAAACGCATATGTGCATGCATAAAGGTATTATGTGCGTGCCCGGAAAGTTTGTAGCTTTGAGGTATTATGGACATCCGGATTAAAGGCTTTTGACTGTATTTCTAAAAATGAGATTTTATGAAAAGTATAAAATTGTTATTTTTTGTTTAAGATTTATCATCAAATATTGAGCATTTTATAAAAATAAGTATTAAATTATGCATTAGAATTGGCAAAAGATTGAAAAATGTTTATTAATCTTAACAAAATATGTTTTCGCCTCAGAAATTTTAAAAAATAATAACAATGATAATAATTAATGTGATAATCTTTTTTTTTTGTATTAATGATAGACTGTATGTATGCAGAAAAATTTTATGTTTTCATAACAGTTAACAATTTGTTTTTTAGTTGAGTTGTTTTTAAGATGGCTTTTAGTACTAGGATTACGATATTTTCCGTATACCTATAACTATGATTAGTGGTCATTTTGATCGCTTGTTCTGAATAGAAGAAAAGGCTCACTTTTTAGTTAATGCTTATAATGATACATTTTGCTTGTTTAATGAGTAAATTGAGTAAATACAGGCAGCCAAAGGCTAATTTAGTGTAGGAAAGAGCAAAATGAGTAAATATATGAATCGAAGGATAATTTAGTATACAAAGAGCCAAAAGGGAAAAAAAAATTCACTGGAGATATTTTTAAATTTATTATTTAATAAATTGCCTCATAAGAATTTTCAATATGAAATATGTTTAACTGCTTCCCTTATAAATTTTTTGAAAAAAAATTGCAAAAAATCATCACATTTTTTTTTTTTTAATTTTATTATTAAATACAACGAAACAAAACAAATCAAAATATTTAGGCTTTAAGTTGAATTTTTAATTTTTTGAAGGTGTTTTAATTTTAATATTAGTTTACTATCCCGAGTTATCTCGTACAAACAAAAAAAGTTAAGTATTAGTCTTAGTATGATAGTTTTTGAAACAAAGGACAACACAAAGTGATATCTGACATTCTACACTGGTATCTGGTCTGTTTTCTTACTTGCTTACCACTGAAATCTCTTTCACAGGAGCACAGAGTACACTGATTGTTGGATTTGATTTTTTTTTTAAATTTTATTTTTATTCCACCTCTTCATAATCACTATCTGAAAAATCATTGCTTTCGCTATCTTGCATCATTGCCATTATTATTTTTTTTCCAATGCACATATCCTTCTTTATATATTACTAATCCACAAGCCGACGTATACTATGCAATAAGGAAACACGTGACCAGTCCCTCCAAGAGAACTGCACGACCAACAAAATTTGGCAAACTGCCAATCAAAGCTGAATATTTCCTTTCATTTCCTCCAGGTCGAGTAAATCGTGATAACACAAATTGTACTAACAAATTATGCTTCGCCCGAGTTTTCACGGGATAAAAAATTAACTGCAATATATACGAACCCAAGATAACTCGGGATAATCAGGCAAGCGGTTAAAATTACACATATTAGTACTTACATTACTTGGTTTTGCAGTGCATACAGATTACTAATTTTTTAACATTACCTGTACAGGTTCTACAAACATATTTTTTACAGTATTCACACGTATTCAAAATTTTGTTGCCTCTGCATGCATTCATTTGGTATTATTTACGCTTACAGGAAAGGTTGATGCAAGTTCCAATTCTCTTTTC